GTCAATAAATGAGAAGCTTTTAATTTGCTATAAAAATCAAAAACACCTTTTATTATACATCTAGTCTTTTATTATTACCTCGTTTTCAAACATATTTTCTCCCTTTTTTTACTTTTTAAAATGTTAAAAAATCCAATTAGCTTTTTAGGCTGGCGTTTGAGACAGTTAACATGTGACGTAGTAAATATTAGTCTGTTTCCTGCCAATAAACTACACTTATTATTTTTGATTTTCTGATGTTTGTTTGAATTATCTTAATTTGATTTTTTATGACCAATAGTGAGTTTTGAGTCAGTTTTTTCTCCATATCTCCTGTTACTGAGATGAGCAGTTCCACCAGTGTTCGTATAGCTGCTTATTGAAGGCTGACCCTTGCTGGGTTTGTTAGGGAGGAGCGTGATGAGGGAAGGTGGAGTAGCTGGAGCGTCTTTCCATCTCTGCCAAAGCTCGAGTCAATGTGGAGACTGTTTTCGGGGATCTCAAACAGGGGCCCTTTCCTGTCGACCCTCCTCCTCCTCCCTTTTGCTTCTTTCTCCTCCTCTACCCTCCACCCTCTCCTTAGCCTGGCTGGACCTGGCTCTCGTACAGAGGTCCCTTTGTTGCGAGCTTTCTGTCTGTCTTACTTTCCCTCTCCACCTCCTTTTCCTACTCTGTTCCCTCCCTTTTTCCTCTAAAAGTCTCCAGTCTTCACAAATATGAGATAATAGGAAAAATGGAGCTGGCATCTTGTGGTGACTCGGGGCAGAACGCCTGAGGGAGAAATAGAAAGTGAGTGAGAAAAGCCAGGGGGAGGATATTGTTTGGGAGATGGACAGAGGTTGCGTCCCCTCTCCAGCAGCTTCCAAACCAAAAGCCCACCACGGATCCAAAAGCTGGGTTGGTGGAGCTCTCCGTTGCATATACGCACAGTTTCGCTCTCTCTGCAGGTGGACAAGGTTGTTTTGGCTCAGCTGCAGGGCGGCAGCTTGACTCCGTTTGAGCCAATGAGCCAAAATAATAGAAGACGACTCCAGAGTTATTGTCAGCTTTTTTTCCTCCTGTATGCTTTTCCTAGAACCCCCCTCAGCTAAGTGGGATCCCGTTCATCACCGGCTATGAAAAACTAAACAAAACAATTATAAGAAAGACGGCAAATATGAATTTCTAAGAAAAAGCAATCTAAACATCTACGGTTGCAATATTTTATTCAGTGTAAACATCATTAAACTTTCAGGCGGTTGAAACAAACAGATTCTGCACAAACACAGAGAAACTCAATAGCGAGGTTGTTCTTTAATAAATTAGCGTGAACTTGATTGCATTGGCATTAGTATTGTTTTGGGGGTGGGTGGGTGTCCGTCTCCGCCCTCAGCTCGAAGGACCCCACCCTGCAAAATATGCAGCTCACGCCCCTGCGTGGGTACCAGGCTCTGCACACTTACCTCACCTCGCTGCCAAAATACACCCATCCGTCACACACACTAACAGGCAGCAAGAAGATCAGGGAGTAGCTAGTGAATTCCATGGAAAGACTTGTGCAGTCTTTATTTCACATAACGACACAAAGTAGTGGTCTGCCTTTATGAGCTTTTTATTTGACTCAACTGCATTTATGAAAATAACTAGTGAAGATTCCTCTATTTAGTAATTCATGACTTCTTGTTCCGTCTGTAGGATGTATATGACATCATGTGGCATTTATAGATGTGCATCAAAGAGGGAAAGACAAGAAAACACTATTTTAATGTTATTTTTTTTTATTATAAGCAATAAAATCACAATATTAAGAAGTATGTGCCTCAACCTTCATATCCAAACCATCAAATAGCTATTAAAAGGTTAAAAAAAGGACCAACACTATCATGGTATAGTGATACAGTAAGCACAGCGTAGGGTTAGTCATGCTGCAGGGTTGACCTTTCTCTCAAGGTCAATTAGTGTGCAGAGAGTCAAAAGTTTTTAGCTGAAATTTGGAGAAACCTTCCTGAAGATAAAAAACAAAAAAACAAAAAAAACCTTAAATTGGATCTTTAAACAAGGAAGTGACCCAAAATATATTCCCGAATCAACACGGCCTTTATTTACACATCTTTAACAGGGATATTGAAAGTTGTAAGAGTTATTTTTATCAGGCGTCTTGAGCGAATGCTTGCTCTCTTGCCCAGCTCCAACAAAGGGTAAAGTAAATTAAGTGTTTTCTATCTACTTAGTAGAAAAGTAGTAAATCTTTGAATGTGGCCGAAGTAAAAAGGCGGCTTTCTAGAAGGGATGTGTGCCAGACATGATGTTATTGTTGTGCTGGGAAGTCTGGAAGCAGCTATGGAAGTGCTCTGAGAGGTTGACAGGATTCTAATGTGCCAAAACGGCGGTGATGAGAAACTAATAGAGGGGAGTCAGGGTGACATTTATAAGGTGACAGGTCCAACCTATTCAGCAGTTTGTGTTTGTGTTTGTAGGGCAGTTTTGGGTGACAGTGGAGGCTCCCCACAGCATTCAGCATCTCACTAAAAGATTCAGCACGCCTGCACCTCTTTTCTCTGGTCTTCCTCCCAGCTCCTCCTGCCCATTTCGTTCCTTTTCACCATCCGCCACACAATGAAAGAGCCTCTTGGCTTTTATTAATAGTTAAAGTGGCCCCGGCCTGTCACTGGGGACAATGGCTGCAGCCCTGTTAATAAATAAAAATAATAACTAGGAGATGGAGACGGAGAGCGAGGGAGATGGAGAGAGAACTGGCGACACTGCCATTTGTTGTTCCCTCTCACTTGTCAAAGCTCTTTGGCTTAAAAGCCTCTGTCATTGTTGAGGGAAGGAGGGATGGTGGGGGGGATGGAGTCAGAGACAGAGAGAGAGAAGGAGGCTAATAGCACCTGTTGGGTTGATGCTAAGACAGCTGTCATGGGGAGAACTGCAGGAGTCTGTTCCTTCTTCTGCTCATGTAGTCGTTCACCGTTTCCCATTTTAGCTGAACATTCTCCATCTCTCCCCGCCATTCTCCTCCTCCTTCATACCTTCAGCTTTCTGCCAGTCGACCCCCCTGAGATAGAGTTTGAGACAAAAAGCACAGAGGGCGCGTCAGGGACCGAATCTCTGCCAGCGCAGCAAACACAAGGACAGGTCAGGACAAGGACGAAGGCGAGATGAACAGGAAAAGTCAGAGTTTGAACTTCAGCATTGATCTTTGACTCTGTGGGGGCGTGGGGGGGTGTTTTGGGTGAGCGCGGCCGCGGTAATCAGCAGGGCGTGAATGCACTTTTCTCAAAGCCAAAGGATGGGACCATGCTGAACCCTCAGGGGAAGCTGGAGGCACACAGTTGAGGTACAGTGTGTGGATGTGGACTTGTGTTTCGTTTGACAACTTTTACCGTCTTCAATCCCTTGTGTTTTTGTGCAGTTGTGATTGAAGGAATTATTGAATCTTGGAAATCTTCGGTTTTCTGCCATCCTTGTCTGTTTACGCTATTTTCACTGCAGCGTGAAAAAAGTTTAAGAGCTTTTAGAGCACCATATGAAAAAAATGTTTTATTCAGTATTGTTTAGCTCATTGCATTAGATACTGTATACCTGGACTTATTTTTGCCTTTCATCTCAGAATGTGCACATCTGCACAGGGGTGGTTCTTCGATAAATAGCATCCTGGGCAAGTCCACCTCTCTAGCCCCCTTTTACCCCATTAGTGTTTTTTTTTCACTTTTTTGTGCGTATTCACATATATAAAATTAAAATGTATACATTTCAGGCTTGATTTTAAAGATATTCTTTTATATTGCGGAAAAAAATGCAACTTCATCAATTTTATTATTTAGCTGAATATTTCCAGGATGATTGGCGATAGAAACCTGCCTGCAGTGACACTAAAGGATGCCCCCGCCAATAGATTTAACCCTGGACAGTTTGCCATATCTGCTGAACGATAAAACACCTCTTGATCTGCATATCAAACCAGTTCAAACTGATCTTGTTAAGAACAAGCTTGGTTAAGAGTGAGTGTAGAAGGTATACTTTTTTTTTTTTTTTATTCATAAGTGCCGCTGAATCCATCGGTGATTCACATAAATAACAACCATCAAGGTGTTTTGTAAGAATCAGTTAGATGAGTAAACATAGGAACAAACTTAGAGTTGAAGTAAATCAAGCATTTTGTTTCCGTAATTCCCATTAGGTGATGAATACTTTATGTGTCAGCATGTAAATAGGGTGTTTTCTGCTCAGGCTGCTGGGTGTGGTGCTTTCCAAAGTTAAAAAACATGGTTGATTTAAACACTTTGCTTTTAGTTTAAAACTGTGTATTTCTCTCTAAGTTATTTAGAAATACAATACGTTGCATTAAAACCTAATCCCCACCGCTGCGTGTAACTTTTTGATGTGTGTGTGCGGTCCGTGTGCACACATTAAGGACTGTCTCTCTCCATGCGTATGCTCTCCTGTGTGACATTTCCACTCCTCCCGCTGTGTGCGAGTGTGTACATCTGTGCACAAATGTGACCACAGTGAGAATCGTAATTAGGGATTCTGCAAGTGTGTGTGCTCGTGCAGTGCTTTTTTTTTTTTTTGTCAGCATGTGTGTAAGAGACTGTGTGAAGTGTGTGTTGAAAACAAAGCGCTAGCTGATAATGTGTCCATTGTGGCGGGTGCATTAAGGCCCTCTTTGTCTCAGGGCCCACAGGGCTAATGATTCTCTAGCAGCAGGTGAGAGGGGAAAAAAGCCTCTCTCTGTCCTCCACTCATCTCTCTCTTCCTCTTGCGTTGCCTCTCTCACTCGTTCCCTTTTGCTTGCTTGTTTTTGTTTTTCAGATTTGCTCTCTTTTCGATTATCAGCTTCTCTCCTTCCGCTCCTCTCTCTCTCCCTCTCTCTCCTGCTGATGCGGCCATTAGGCTGAGCCGCCGCTGCCTTTATTACAGCAAATGGACTTTAAATGAGCTTTATTGTCATGTTGGCCAGCCAACTGAATCCCTCTCTCTCTCCCTCCCTCTCCTCTGAACCCCCACCCACCCCAAACCCTCCCTCCTCCCCTAAACAGAGCCCCCCAGCATTGAGAGGCTGTTGTCAAAGGACTGGAAGGATAAACTTTTGGCCATGGGCTCAGGGCACATCGGAGAAATTAAAGGTACGGCAAAAGGAAAGAGCAACAGCACTAAACGACTCTGATACTGTATAACAGGAATAAGTGCTAAAAACTGAATCAATAATCGAAAAAAAACAAAGTCTGGCTCTTAAATTGGTGCCTGATCCCCAAAAAAAAATCCAGAATGATCTTAGCTTTTTTTTTTTTACACAAATTAACCACAGTGATTGTAGTGAAAGTAGTCACAGCCAAAAATCTTATACCAATATCATTAATACTGTTAGCAGTCGTAGTAGCAGTACTGTTTTTTTCTATTATTTTACTCAGTAACATATTGAACCTCACCTACACACAGACTGTCTTCTAAACTATATGTTTTCTCCTCAGAGTGAGATGCAGTTAAACAATAAATATATTTATAAAAGCAATAGCATAACTAACAGATTTGCCAGACTGGTCTCCATTAGTTGTTTGAAGACGTGGATGAGAACTCCAGTTATCTAGAGTTAGACCATCTACCAGGTAGAACTGTGCAATGCTTTACTTTTCTAAATAGTGTGTATTATTAAGCAGGTATGTAGGCACCTAGTTTCCAACTTCAGAGCTTCCCTTATGATGCATTAAAAGCATGGCGATCAAATTCAGTTGCGATTATCCCAAGCGGGGTTGCGAGGGGTGCTGGTGCCTATCTCCAGCTGTCTACGGGCGAGAGGTGGCGTACACCTGGGACAAGTCGCCTGTCCATCGCAATTATGACACAGACAAATATCAGTCTGCAGCCTTGACATGCAATAAGCCAGCAATTATAAATTAGACTTTTAATTTGATGTGAAGTAGGCTACATTTTTTTAATAAATATTTGTATACGTTATTCAGCCTGCCAGTATACATGTGCTAGGCTCTTATTTTGAAGGTTTGGAGGAATTTCTGTCTCAGTTTACCTGTGGTATTGACATGTTGTCAAAATATCTCTTCTAATATCAAAAGTCTTTGGTTTAATTGACTCAAATTGAAGCCTAAAAGTTTGAGGACCAGATTTTTATGGGAACTGTATTATAATTTAGTGAGTTATATATTTCAAAATACTTTATTTGCTGCTTCTATTTTTTTTATTCTTTTTTATTTGACTAACGTGGTTTCGGAGCTTTCTTTGTCCACAATCTCTGAATGATGATATCTGAATGATAGAGCGGTTCTTATCATGTAATAAAACTGCAAATCCCATGATGCATGAGGAAATACTGCCTGACTTTATTCCCCAGACAATTAGGTTCCTCAATCTGAAACTTTAGGTTAGTGCCTTTGAAATTACTTATTGTATGTTTAGGTTTTTATAGTCAAGTTCACCAACTCCTCTTACACAATAGAAAGTGAATAGTCAATGTAGCTGTATAAAATCAGTGGTGAATATCTGTTTTGAAGCTTAAAATATGCTTTGGAATCTATATAACGTAGATATACTGATAGATTGGCGACCTGTCCAGGGTGTACCCCGCTTATTGGCCACTTGAAAGCTGGAGATGGGCACCAGCAACCCTCGTGACCCCAACTGGGATAAGCATGATGGAAAATGAATGGATGGATAAACTAGATGTAATAACATCAGTTGGAGTAAAGAATGTTCTAGGTCATGTCATTTAAGCTTAAGGATCTGAGTTCATGGTCATTTATGTCTTTGAATAAAGATTTTGGCTGGCCTGTGAACAGACCAAACAGCCTGACCTAAAGGCTTCAAAGTCTTTGGTGGTTCTTCTATCTCTTCTTTTCTTCCTCAGCCTTTTGCAGCAAACTATTTGAGATACTCTTATTAACAGAGTTTTTAATAGTCCTGTAACTGAGTATAGTTTTGATGTAAATTTCACCTTTAAAGGGTATTAATTTTGAAGTTCTATGGCAATTATTGGAATCAATTACCTTAGGACAATTGCAAAAAAGAATAACGTTTTGTTCATTTGCTCTTCAATTACTGACTTTTTGTGTAAAAATACAATTCAACATCGCTTTCCGTTGTCAAAACATGAACTACAGTTCTATGAGGCTATGTGTTTATAGAATTCACCTCTACTTAACGTCCAAGAAAGATTTATGTAAGAATTTTTGACTGAGAAAGGCAGTTTAAAGAGGCAGGGGAGAGCAGTTTGGATTCACTGTAACTTTAAGGCAAAGCTGTCATTCTCCTCCAGTAATTGAACTTCATTAGGAAGCCAAGCAATATAAAATCAAAGAGCTTCACTGAGCAGCGTGGCCATCGAGAGCAGAGCTCCATTGATCAAACCCCTTTTTTCCAGCTCCCTGTCGCGTTGACATTTCCGTGTAGGGCCATCCCGCTTGGCGCGCTGCACACCAGCAGCTGGGGAGCAATATATGCATGCCTCTAAGTTCTTATATCTGTTGAAGCCATAAGTGTGTCTTAGTACCTAAATAACGTGTGGAAAACAAAAAGGGTTTGTGCTGTTCTCCCACTTTCTGTGCATCCTTTACCATTTTTTTCCCGCCACGTCGAATTTCCTCGAAAAGTGTTTTGCCCAGGAACAAAGTACTTCTGAGCCGCCACCCCCCGCTTTAGAGGCGTTGTTAAAAGGCCCCATGCGGTTCACATAGATAAGTATATATACTCACCTTTATGGAAGCCCAGAGATAGAATAAAAGCTCCCATAGTGGAGCCTCATTAACATCAAACGTGTCTCAGTGGATGAAGAAGAGTCAAAAACGAGGTGTCTGTCCTGGCTTTGATTTACCTGACCTATAACCACGCTGCTCAAGTTTTACTTTTCAACCTGATGAGAAGAAACTGAAGGCCTCCTGGTGTTTGAGATGGTTAGGTTAAAAACAGCTGCTTTAACTGGAACATTTACGAACATATATGAACCACCTAATGCAAACAGATGGCCGTTGTTTCTTTGCTTTGGATGATGAGGCAAGGTCAGTTTAAACAGTAGTTGATGTTTTCAACATTTTAAAACCAAACACCATCATAAAAACCAACATTTGAAGGATGGAAAAATCAATTTATTGTGTTTTGTTTTTAAATAACAGAACCAATAGTTAGCCTAAAGCTGTTATTAGTAAGAGATTACTATACATATGTAGGACGCCTGACCACTGTCCTCCTAATCTCACTTTAAAATGCTCTCCTCTTGTCACACATTAAATAAAATATAATCATAAATGATTGTTAAGCTAAGAGGAATTAGAATATTTATTTTTTGATGAATGAAATGATGATGCAATCCAATATTCCTCTTTTCTATTCAGCAAGCTGCACAAACTAAAAACATGTTTTATTTCCAATGAAGGCCATTTTAGTTTTTAAGAAAGTCTATAAAATAATTATGGAATTAGTTATTTCATTAAAGACAATAAGTTAAAATAGTATTGGCGCAAAACTGCATTTGATTTTTTATTATTATTTCTACAAACTTTACGTTTTGTTTGCCTTATAGTGGCAATGAGAAGCTAAAGAACTTGTTGGTGAATGGCCCTTTTAATAAAGATGCACCAATAAATCAGTCAGGTACTGAAAATGTCTGATTAATGAGATTCAGAGGAAAATTTTTCACAAATTAAATGTATAGAAAAATGAACAATTCCCACAGGAATCTAGATTTTGAGTTGAATGTAAACTTTGCTTTGAAGCCTATATATAGTTAATTTTGTCATTCCTCTCTATTATATCAATACATCTGTAAGTTATCTTTTTGATAATAGTCCTTACAATTATTATTTGGATAAGTCAAAGTAGAATTTGCAAGATCATAGTTAATAGAAAATGGATACTGGACAGAAAAAAGCCTGTTCACTGAATCTCCACTTCTTTCCTTCCTCTCCTCCATTGCTTTGTGACTTTTTGCCATCACTGTCTCCTCCATCTATTGCCTGCTCCTCTTCCTTTCATTCGTCTCGCCCGCAAGGAGTTTTCAACGCAGCCGGAGTCATTAATTAGCCGTAGGAGCGCGGTGACAAGCACTACATTGTTAGAAATTGGTTAATTACCCTATACATGAGCGAGGCTGTGAGTGTGAGAACGAGGAGAAAGAGAGAAAGTTCGTCTTGGTTCTGATAATCACAGGATGGAGTAATCTGCCTAAGGAAGAATGTGCGTTAACCCGTGGAGGAAACCAGTTATCGATCGCCCTGGCTGCCTGCCTGCCTCGGAGCAGTGAGGGAAACAAGGCGATGCAGGCTGATTTATGGGCCGACTAAAGGAGCTCTGGATCTCAGAAGAAAAGGGAACAAGAAGCAAGAGATGTAGCTCCGAAAATCTGGTCTCACTCCTCACTTAATACTCCAAACATTAGTTTATCTAAAGATAAATGGTAAAAGAAGAGATCAGATCTTAAAAACTATACATGTTTTTTGTTTCAGAACCCACAGAAGCCTTAAAGCTTTCACAGCGTGTGTGTTTCGTGTCTGTGTTAGAAGGGCGGTTAACCCCTACAAAAAAGCCTCCTTTGATCCATCCTTTCACCTTAGTGACTCCCCCCTTCGCCCCACCGGCCTTTTCCTCCAAACCCCTTCACCCCGCGTTTGAACAGCCTAACGTTTTTAACACAAGGCTCTTTCTTGTCTCGTCAGCTTTGGCTCAACACACACACACAAGCAGGCCCCCCCCTCCACAGATACACACAAGAACACACACTCCTGCTCTGGCTCTACAAAGGTGGGTCTGTGAGTTAGGACAGCGGCGTGTTTATTTTTCCAGCGGCCAGTGCTCCCGACAGTTGCCTTTATTGTTCATTGTTGGCGGATGGATGGAGTGTAGGGGGGGAAGTCAGGGAGGAGGAGGAGGAGGCGCAGGGTTGGCCGGTGGGCAGCAGAGGAGGTTACAAGCTGAGTGGACAAATGGACGACTCCCACCTTCCCGAGTGGTCAAAGGGCGGTTCAGCTGCCACGTCTCCATCCCTCATGCCCGCTACGTCGTCTTTCTTCCCCCTTTTTCTTCCTCATCTGGTTTGGCTGGCGCAGGAATGCGGTCCTGTTAAAGGTAGCAGCTGAGGAACAATGAGGGATTGTGCTGCTCCACACGTGCACACGCAAAGGCTGAACAAAGGCATGTAGGCAAACATGAGTACATATGACCAGACAAGAACTCACACACTTGTGCTGATTGGGCCTCAGTGTGCCTCCCTATAACTACATCCTGTTGAATGATTTAGGCCTTGTGTGGAGGTGTGTGTGTGTGTGTGTGTGTGTGTGTGTGTGTGTGTGTGTGTGTGTGTGTGTGTGTGTGTGTGTGTGTGTGTGTGTGTGTGTGTGTGTGTAATGGAGCTGGTATGTCAGGATCCAAGGAGTCAAAGGTCAGGCCATGCTAAATGTGAGAAGGAGGTTGGCTGACTGCAGAGTAAACACAGACCAGACACACTCTCTTTTTGCTGGTTTCTCCCTCTTCTTTCTCTCTCCTAAAGCTTGATCACACAGAAATACAGCTTAGTCGCTGCAGATCAGTCTCCAAATGTCCTCGTAATTCTCTGGAAAACCAAATACGTTTCCGTTTGGCTCCCAGTTTTTTTTAAGCGAGAAATTTAAATTTCCAAACCTTGCCGAGGATTGGTTTTTGTTTGTGAAACGTATGAATCTGGCTCAGATATTACATTTGCTTTTTTTTTTTTTTTTCCTCCTGCTCCTGCTCCCCACCACATTTCGCCTGTTTACAAATATTTCCCCAGCCAGATTTATTTTTCCTTCTTTCAATAAGGCACTAAAGCTGATGGTGATGATGATAATGATGATGGATAGGACTTGATTAATTGATGCCTGCCTCTCCCTCCCAGGGAAACCAGTTAACATCTGGCTATGCGACACTGGTGCTCTTTAACAAAGCAAATCTACTACACTGCTCCCCTCCTGCAGTTAAAACCTTCATACCACTCATATATAACACTAACCAACAAAGGTTTTGTTTGTTTCTTAATGCTATAAATGTCCATGTTGCAAAAGTAGTCCTAATTATTAGACTTTTTCCACAAACCTCATCATATTTTATTTTGATTTTATGAGATAGACCAACATAAATGGATGATTAATGAGCAAGAAGAAGGAGAAAGAAACTCTGGGTTTCTACTTTCTCTGTCTTTTTATTCTTAACTGTATGAGGAAACAGCATTGTAAGGTCTAGAGAGGTCAGGGATAAAGCTTTGGCGCATCTGAAAACAGATTCATCCCAAGCTTTGATCTTCTTTCTGGTCCAGCGTACTAACTGTAAGGTTGGAGGTACTAACCATCATGCTGTGGGGAAGTTTTCTTCATAAAGAGGGAATGACCTTTGTCGTATTTTTCTGCAGAGCTTTGAGTTTCTCTATCCCGTCAACTACCAATAAATCACATAGATGTTTGAAGTTGCGTCAAAATGTGTGAAAGTTTATGAGGTATTGCTATTTTTCAAAGGCAATATCAGTTTACGGATGCACCACATGCTTGTCGGCGGATCCATTGTATGGATGACTTTCTAACTACACAAAGGCGACTTGTTGGTTTAATTTATATTCTCCATTTAAACAGGAAAAGGTAACCTTAGCTGGGTCTTTTACTCCTCTTCAAAGTGCTAACATTTCACCTTTGACCTGCCCCCCTCCTCCCTTTTTTTTTTTTCTCTGCCCTTTAGGTACCCCAGACAGCCTGGCGGAGAAGGAGCGCCAGCTCATGGGCATGATTGGCCAGTTGAGCAGCCTGAGGGAGCAGCTTCTGGCGGCGCACGAGGAGCAGAAGAAGCTGGCCGCCTCACAAATGGAGAAGCAGAGGCAGCAGATGGAGCTGGCCAAGCAGCAGCAGGACCAGGTAGAGGAGCCCACTGCATGTGAAGGATCTGTGTGTAATATTCCACAGCAGCTGAAAACTCTCAGAGCTTCAATTCAGTCTAAAATCATTTTTAAGCTAAAACAATAAAAGAGCAAAAGCACAAAATAGTGCACCTTTTATTTAGTTCAAATCAATTTAAATGCAGACAAACAGAAATAAATGAACTAGAAACTCTGAGTAGCACATAGCATTCCTAGAGAAAAAGCACACTAGTTTATTTAAGACGTGTTTATTTTCCTGGCTTAAATTAAAATCTCTTGAATTTTCATGAAAACTCTAATTTTAACATTTTCTTTTTCCAAGTCTGCATAAAAATTCAATGTGGAAACAGATTTAATTTAACTGCTGCACCTGGATGTGTAAACAATATTTTTTTCATTTTTCTGCCACTACTTTAAAATTTCATTAAAAACTGACTAAATCCAACCTTTTTTTAATGCACCTATTTTCAAATCATACAGAACATTGATGCAACCAGAGAAACATGCTGAGGGCATTTAGTACTGCAGCAGAAGTAACAAAGGCACACACTTTTTTTCCCTCTTTCTCTCACACACATACACAGTTGAGGCTTCTAGGCAAGGCTCTGCCAGGTATTTGCATATTGAAGGGTTTCCCTATTTTGTTTTTGCTTTTTTTTTCCCTTCTGGAAAACTTTGGCTTATCCAAACCCACACATAGACGCACAGCTGTAAGGACAAATCACCTGTGACTGACACAATGCATTACAAAGCCCTGGGCTGCATCTCACAGCAGGTCCTAACTGGACTCTTTAGCACATCCTTGTTACTGCACGGTATGTTTTCACTACACTGAGCTTTTAATATTTTGCCAGGACTATCTTAGAGAAAACACACTATGAAAGCTGAGAAATTTAGTATAATCTTAAAAAAAACAGTTCTCTGTACATGCAGTAAAGTTAGCATTGCTTTTGAGTCTGTCCATAACTGTTTGTTTACTGCTGAGTCCAGATCAGACGAGCTTTAATATTTCATGAAAGGGCATCGACCCTCTGTCGTGCAACCAGGGCCTCAGAGACCCGCAGATGTGCTGCCTCTCCCACAAGCTCGGCCGCACGCGCATACACGCATGTGCATGTACCCTCTAAAACACCGCTGTGTGCTCTGTTCCCAGATTGCCCGGCAACAGCAGCAGCTCCTGCAGCAGCAACACAAAATCAACCTCCTGCAGCAACAAATCCAGGTGAGGCCCAGTCGTGTCGGGCAGTGCGAGTGAGTGTGTGTTTTGTGTGAATGTGGCTTTCAGTTGTGTGTCAGAGTGGCCCACAAAGGCAGTTTTGTGATTGTAATCGTTGCAGCTTTGCTCTGTCATCAGCACTCAGGGGCCTGAATCAACATTTGCTTTTATAGCAGCTCCTCAACACGCTCACAGATGTACACAACTCATGCAATCACCTAAAACTGGCCTGTGTTCTGTGATGGATTACAGCTAATGTTTTAGCAAGTATAAAGCTTTGCATTTTAAGTCACAGGAACAGAAATCTCACCAGAGCTGCATACCAGTTCATCATAGCAGGCCACTTGTACTTTTAATTTCTGTGTAGGAAAAACCTAATTATGTCTAAGAATAGTTTGGGCTGTGTTTCCCAAAAAAAAAAAAAAAGACTGAAAAAGCAAGTTTCCACTATGCAGCTGCTCTAAGGAGGCAAGGGAGGAAAATGGAGTGGTTTGTGCTGCTGACACCTTTAGTGGAAAAAAAGTAGAAAATACCGCCAGATATTTAGGACATATAACATTTAATTGGTATTTTTTAAATAAAAGGATGAGTTTTGCAGATTAAATAAATAAACATTCAGTGTCTTTTCTTAGCAGAAGAACAGGAGAAGTAGAAGAGTATTAGGTGTATTAGTAATGAGTTTTGTATGGAGCCTACAGTAGCCTATACATATGATTTTTAAACATTTTTGGCAAAAAAAAAACACTTGAACTTGAGTCTTATGTCTTTAATTTACCTTATTCCGATTTCCATGAATAAAGTCCTTAAGTATGTCCTCAACACACCATTAAAAATGTTTCCAACTGATTTTGTATGCCCATTTTGGAATCTGCATAAGCAGAGCTTAATGTAAAAAGACTCAAATCAACTTAATAAAGTTTACAAAAAGGTCTATACGCTCTCTTAAGTTGTTTTTTTTAAGGTTATTTATTTTTTTGCAAAAGAGTAAATGGTTACTGACTTATTTCTCATGTAGTTAACAATTAGATCCCATGACAGATCAGTTGTTTCCGCTGCCGCTGTCTTGAATGCGGCCTTTGACATGCACTTCTCTCTCTCTACGTCTGCATCTGGCATGTACCATCGCTGCTGCTAGCTGAGATGATACAGTTTGTATAACTTGCCTGATTGCAACTCATTAATCATAAACCTGGTCCATTATGCTCTATGGTCTGCATTAACTTGCTACCTCTACTTCCTGTTGATCGCAGCCAGGTGTAACCTAAATGTATGAAGACATTGCGCCTTGCATCACTTGATTCATTTTACTCTATTGAATGGAATAAAAGATTTAATCTGCATTTTCTTTTTCTGACACTGTAAAATTTCCCTCCAAATTTCCATTTTAATTCAATGAAAGCACGGCTAACATGTACAAACAGGGTGGTGGCAGAATCATGCTGCGGTAGTCCTTTTCTGCAATCGGCAGATGGAAACTGATCAGGGTTGAAGATGTAAAAATAATACTTAATTTCGTAAAATCAAATTCAGATACTTTGCTGTATATGGCTGCCATGATACCATATAGTAATATTATTTGAAAGTGTTAGATTTTTTGGCCTTGGCTGCATTGTGTGAGATCCTTTCTTTCACATTTTTCACTATTATAGTAACACATCCAGGTGGAACTCCTTTAATCCTAAACACAGACTGCAAACTCAATTTCCATTTTCTTTCCACATATTTGCAATGTCCAAATCTAATTAGGGAGAATATAATGACAAACTTTAAATAGACTGGCAAAGTTATTCAATTTAAGACGTCCTTTTCAATGGGAATCTTTGTCTCCAGCTTTAGAAAGGGTTGGGTATCTCTCTAACACTTAAAAATAGAAGTATTGTACTTTAGGATGCTACACTGGAGCCTCTATTTTGGTCCAGGTGGCTTGGAACGAAGAGCCCAGGCCTTTGTAAAGGCAGATGACACTGAATTTTAAGCTGAGAAAGCGGGGCTTTGTACCATAAAGAGACACTCTGTCCTAGAAGGAGCGCACACACACATTCTCCTTTCCCCAAGAGTGTAGCCACACACAGTTTGTGTGATAAGAGACCTTGTGATTGCATGTGCGTTGGACATTTGTCTGTCTGTCCATGATTCTTTGCGAAGCAGTTTATTTGCTTTGTTTGACTTAAAGTCGGCATTGTTCACGTTTTGTCTCCCTTGACAAGAAAAAGAAAGAAGAGAACACATGTTTGTTTCTTAGGGTTCCTCTGTGCCGTCTTGATGCTTTCATTTCTTCATGTGTGTGTGTGTGTGTGTGTGCGTTTGCTGCAGCTGTGTGTGTGTTAAGCTATAAACACGTCCGCTCATGATTCACTCCCTCACGACCCCGCCGAGACAAAGCTCTCTTTTCCCATGACTTTGCAACCTTTTCCCAAACAAGCGTCTCTCCATTGAACGCGCCCAACAATAGTTTCTCACAAGCAGGGGCAGCTGTAGGCAGCCTCGTTAAGGGAGGGAAACAATCAACAGGGGCTCATCGCAGGAGCTCCAAAATCTCACTTTTTTTTGCATGGATCTCAGACACACACACACAAAAATAATAAAATGGGACAAAAAAAACGTAAAATACTCGCCATCGTTTGCTGGCGCAAACATAGTCAGGGAGAGCTGACGATCAAACACGCACTCATCATCAAAGACTTGGTCGAGAAACACACTGCTTAATCATTCATGAAGAGATTGTCCGCACAATCCCACAATACAATGGCCTGCCAGGGCCAGAGCACAAGGTTCAGTGTGCTGCGGTGTATGTGTGTGTGTTTGTGCCCGTATGATAAGCCCCTTGTGATTGCGTTTCCCCCTAACGAGGCTGAGTTCAGCTGTCCCTCCGTTTGCGCGCCTTGGTCCGTGTGCATCTCGTCCTTGGCTTTGTTAGACTCGAACCCCCAAAGGCCTGCAAAGAATGCTTTCAACCGTCCACTTGGAAGAGGTGATGAAATGAAACGAATTCTAAAGCTCATAAAAAAGAGAAGAGTTTGACACACATCCCTCATGCAAAAAGAAAACAAATTATTTATTGTCCTTGTGTTGGGTTTTCTATTTTATTTCTCACCCTGAAACCCCATGTCAAGCTTTCAGTTTTAGCTCTTATTTAGGCCAAAGGCAGAGTTTGCACACAGAGGCGGTTATAATAACAGCACAAGTTGGTGATGTTCAGCTAAACCTGCTTATATCACTCTGTAGGGTTCAGAAGCCAGTAAATTCTATCCTTTTATTAGAAATGTAGCATTTACTCTGATTTTTTTAGATTCTGTTAACTTTAAACTTGGTTTTAGGTGGTGGCAGCATTATGCTGTGGGATGATTTGAATTTTCTTTGCTTGACTGGAGAGAGGGAAGCTGCTTGGAATCGTTTGGGTGACGAATGAAGTAAAAGGCAATGTGATTTTGCAGAAAATTGCGAAAAACACCCTCAAACTGCCATAAACATTCAACCAGAGCTACTGTATAAGGAAAGTTTTAGATCACCGCATTTGTGTGCGTTAGAAAGTCCACCTTTTTAACCAACATCTTAGCTCCACCTTAACTCCTGCCTTAAGATGAATGAGTCTTCAAAACACATGGGACAAGTTATTTTTAGGCTTTGCAGGGCAAGCAAAACTGACCTTCGTTTTTGTCAAATCCTAGGGAACTTTTTGTTAAGCCAAGAATTCCCAATCACAACATGCAAAAACACAAAAGAACACACACATGCACTTTCCCTAACACACTACCCCCCTGCTGGGGGCCATCTTGTTAAACTGGAAGAGGTGAGCACATTTACCTCCAGCTCCCTTTACTTTCCGTCTCATTCTAATTAAACGTCTTGTCCGCGAGGCCCCCCCCAGAGCCGCCGGGGGACGACTGCTGCAGCCGCGCAGGGAAGCGCGACGGGGATGAAAGGAGCTCACCTGCCGAGCGGCTCAGGGCTTACCTTGAGAGTGAGCGCTCGCATGTTCAGAGAACAGCAGCGCAAACAGACAATGCAGTCTGAAACAGAGGGATGAGCGAATGCGAGCGTGTTTTTTAGGCTAATGAATCAAACGCTAGTCAACCGAAACACACTTGCACGGTCAAGCCCACTCTGTGTGTCATCTTTCATCTCATCAAGACTCCCTGGCACTATAGGTTCCCAATCAAAAAAATGAGATGAAATTCAGAGCAAAGTGAAACCACTTGATGCTTTCAAAAGGTTTACAACCACAGAGGACAGTCGCTAACAAGCTTGTTATCAACTTTGGTGGCAACTCTTCAGCTCATGATGTCAGATGGAGAGAACAACAGAGAAAACACCTTTTGTAGCGCTCAAAACCCCAGCAGCACCTCTGTATCCTTTGCATAGCTGCACCTAGCCCAATTGCCTGTGTAATTGTTTAATCACCACCATTACACAGCAGCCTGAGTAATTTGTGCTTTCCGTTCACACTGTACGCCTGTGTGTCCGTGCATGGGCACACACACTCACACACACCCCTTTACCACTGAGACTCACCCAGCCTATCAGAGCCTTTAACACACACTAACACACTCTGGTCTGTGCATCCAAGCCATCAGGGAGTTATTTCCTCCTTAACCATGGCCCTGCATTCACAGGAGACTGGCCTAATAGCGCCGTCCATAGAAAGTTAATGGACTAATATTAAAAAGCAGCCGTATCTCTGCTTCTCTTTCTCTCTCTGCCCAAATTAATTATTGGTTCTATGCTCGTACGTCACCTCTCCTGCAATAGGTCATCCAGGTCTTGCATTAATTGCCATAACATATGGTCGCCAACAGATTTTAGCTGTGGGACTCGCACTTTAGTGGGGGCTATTTTTTCGCGCGCTCAGAGGCGAGCCATATTGTGCGGCGCTGGCAGCTATTGTTCGGCGCATTAACTTCATAGAGCTAATTACTCCCCAATAATAACTTTACCTTGGAGTTTTTCAGCACGCCGCGTGCCAACCAACCTGTTTCGCACCCCATATGTTAATTAGCGGCCACATCTTCATTATGCCGCAGCGGCGCTTTAAGTTCAAGCTGTGCCGCCTGGCGCGTGGTGAACGCAGCCTCATCTCGCTGCCAATTATCCAACTCCTGCTCCCCTCTCTGAGTTTTCCTCGCGCTCCTTCTGCCGATCTTTCTGTTGTTTCTATCTACTACTATTTTTTTTTTTGAACATTTTCCTCAGAATTTGTTTCGCCAAAGTAATTTTTCTCTTTCCGTCCACTTTGGCCCTGTGAAACTTCTCAAGATAAAGTCTCACACTGGTTTGTCATGTATTTGTGATTCCCCCCTTTACTAAGAGTGTTCTTTGTTTTCTCTTTGGGTTATCACTGATTAGAGGAATTTTGCAGACGAGTTACAGTCGCGTTTGCTTCAGGTTTCTCCTTCAGACATGGAGGAGGGTGCAGAGCTTCTTGTTCTCCACATCAGCAGACTACAGAAGCAGCAGTGTGGTCTTTTGTCTGTGTGTTTTGTAGGTTTTCATGTTCGCTTTAGGCCTGATGAGAAAGAAAAGCTGAGGAATGCATTATTCTCCATAGTGCCAACTGTTTCAGATCTCCCTCTTCCTTTATGTGAAATCTGCAGATTGTCTCAAAGACCTGGCCTGCCTCTCTCTTTGTTCCTCTCAATATCATTTTTTCTTTACTCAGAGTCCCTTTTTCTCTGATTACTGTACTCTCCTCTGTTTTAGAAAACCCTTTCTGTTGTTTTTTTCTCACTTGCAAAGTTGTCATATGATGAGGCTGAACTTCCAGCTCATTTTAAGGTATTAAATAAAGTACTGATTAAGGCAAGACAAAAGATTGAGACAAAATTAAAATCCCATATCAGGGCAAATACATTAAAGCACTTATTGCACCATTGCAACAAACACAAGCTCAAAAGTATAATATTTAAAGTTAATATATTGCATAGCCTTAAGTATATAACTATATATCTATTAAATTTAATTTCTTGAAGAGTAAACAGTCCCTCATTAGATGCACGTTAGAGAACAATAGTGAGAAAACAAGTCCGGGACAAAGGTTTTGGAGAGGTTTTAAAAAGGATGAAGGAAGAATAATGACTGTAAAACATACAAACCTGCCACATTAATCGGAAGAGCAGCAGAAATGGTAAAGGTAACTTTGGAGGAGCTGCAGAGATCTGAACAGGTCAGATATTAGTAGTGCGTTCCCTAAATCAAGTCTTTGTGGGGCTGTGGCAGGAGGAAAGTCAAAGTTCATAGAAAGCTAAAGTCATACAGGGGACACAGCAAACGTGGGAGAATGTGTTCTGATCAGATGAGACAGATTTAATGTTTTGCCTTTATGCAAAGCACTGTAATCATCCTATAAAAGTTTAAAACACATTCCACATCACAGAAGTTGCAGCATAAGGATGTGGGAATAATTTTCTGAGCAGAAACGCATAAAACTATGTTTCTAAATCAGGAGCATATATTCTCTTTAATACATGGGAGTCTAGCCTCTTCCATAGCCAAGATGCATTTATTCTAGACAGCATCCAAGGCTGGTGTTGCTGCTCATAAGCGGAAACATCTGCAACATCAACATATGGAAATGAGTTTTTTACTAGAAACCTTTCCTAATGTTGATCTGTATCTTCTTTTCGGCTTTTGTGTCTTTTTCTTGTCCTTTTGTTGTGTTTTTTTTCAGACCTGAATATGTTATGCAACAGTCCTGTAGGCTGATTAATGTCTTTCCATTGTGTGCAGGCTTTTTGTTATGAGATCAAAAGAGAAGAAAAGATAAGAGAAGGGAGAAGCCTTGGATGCTTTGAAGGGGTTTCTGTGATAATTTCAATTGCAGAAAGAAAGAAGCATAGCCTTGTGCACACGCTGACGTCACACAGTGCATCTATGCTCTGAGCGCACGTGTTTTGGCCGTCTCGAACTTATCGTCCTTCTTTTCTCTCCTCCCTTTGGTACATTTCAGTTTTGCTAGCCAGCTCTACTCCAGCATATGTCCAATTAGGCCTGAAAGGCAAAGCAGAACAGTTCTGTCTGTTATTCGTCCCTGCGGGGGTCCCGTCCGCTGCCTGATCGCACGGCGCGCAGGCAGCCCGGCGGTTTATGGTTAACCAAAAACGGTAGAGTAATTACTGTTTTTGGTGTAAGGGGGGGAAAAAAAGGCGGGGTAGAGAAGTTGCTTGAAGAGAGCGGCACTATTCCCTCTGCGCTGTGATAGTTTGATTACAGTGCTGCTGGCAGTCGCATGCCAATACGTAGGAGCTGCAGGAAAGGATCGGGAGGGGAGGGTTTACAGCACGCTGTAAAAGCGCTGTTAGCACTGAGCGACACCGTCTCAAACACTAACCACTTCAAGTGCTGAGATATTACCTGATTGTACCGAGGCACCACCAGCACCACCTTCCTTATGATTGTGCAGCCGTTTCAATCATTCCAGATCAATTTTCCACATCAGTCAGCTTTTATCTGCCTATTATCCTATTCAGCCATTACCTCTCTGGCCTCCTGGCAAAATAAAAGCGACAGAATGGAGAGAGAGGAGAGGAGATGAGCTGCAAAGAGGGAAGAGTGCTTTTGTAGCCACACATACAGGTCAAAGGCTTCAAGACTTTAAAGGATTGAATTTAAAGGGGCCTTTTTACAAGTTTTTCACTCTAATCCTTGCAGACTTGTCTGGTTTAATCCCAGGTGCAGGGAGAAAAGGTACAGGCGTAATGTGTTGGATAAGTGGTCATGTTGAAGGGCCTGCTTCTTCTCATTTTTTTCAGAGTGTTGTAGGCGTGCATTGTAATGTTGGCATTCCGAAATGTTCAAAAGCAAAACAGTTTGCCAATGACAGCACTGCATTATATCTTAAAAAAGATTTATTTATTATAAAACCACGATGTACTTTACTTTAACGCGACTTTGAGGCCTCTGACTGTCTGGCTCATCCCAGCTCCCATCGAGATAAGATCTGTTTCAATGCACCTTTTCCCCCACTTTCCTCCTCATCCTAGCTGTCACTCAGTCCATCACATGCAAGCTTTTGTGTGTTGTTCTTGGCAGAACGCTGTTTAGTGCAACCATCTGTCTCCTCCTCTCTCTCTCTCTCCTGTCGTCTTTGCCAAAGTCACCCAACGGAGGAGACTTTTTTTCTTTCTGTCTTTCTGTTCCTGAATCTTCTTTTAAAATCTTGGAAACCTTATGAAGTCGTATGGCTTCCTGCCGACAGGCACGCAGAGAGGGTGGCGTCTGCGAGTTTGCAGGCTTTTAGGTTTGGTGCGGAGAGAAGACAGAGAACATCATCGTCCAAATAAGAGTAAAAAGCCCAGCTGTTGTTACAGTTTAGTGAACTGTCCTTGTGGCTTGAAATGACTGGGTGACAGGGTTTATTTTCTTTTATTTTTTTCTACTTCCATTTTGTACCTCACAATATTTCAAAAGTTTCAGCTTTTATTTCAACATAAAAATACTTTATTTATAACAATGTTCTTTTGATTCAAGCATTTCAGCCTTGAAGTTAGTTCATGTAGACTTGTTGACCTGTACAATGTTTCTAAATGTTTTCTTTCCATCCTCTCTTCTTCTATCTCCCATATTTCTTTTCCATTTTTACCCCTCCCCCCCCGTTTTCTCCCTCCTTCCTCAGCAGGTCCAGGGCCAACTCCCTCCACTGATGATTCCAGTGTTTCCTCCTGACCAGCGGACTCTGGCCGCCGCCGCAGCCCAGCAGGGCTTTTTGATGCCCCCCGGGTTCAACTACAAGCCTGGCTGCAGTGAGTGCATGAAACTGATGTTTATTTTGATATGTTGGTTTCCTAGCAGGGCTGCTCAGTGGCGCATGGGGTAGCACTGCTGCCTTGCAGCAAGAAGGTTCCGGGTTTGAGTCTCTCCATGCAGAATGACCAGGATCTTTCTGCATGGAGTTTGCATGTTCTCCCTGAGCATGCATGTGTTCTTTCTGGGTACTCCAGCTTCCTCCCACAGTCCAAAATATGACTGTTAGGTTAATTGGCTTCTCTAAATTCTCTTTCGGTGCGAATGTGTGCATGAATGGTTGTTGGTCTCTGCGTTGCCCTGCGATATACTAGTGACCTGTCGAGGGTGTACCCCACCTCTCGCCCGTAGACAGCTGGAGAAAGGCACCAGCACCCCTCGCGACCCCTTTTGGGATAAGCGTGAAGGAAAATGGATGGTTTCCTAGCATGGAGGTGGATTCAGGCCATTCAGGAAAAGGAAGTTAGAATAGCCCATCGTTAGAAAATCCTAGAAAATCAGCATCCCTTTTAATAGTGAAGTGAGTTAGATCACTGTGGACTTAGAGGTTGTCAACCAAGAACCAATAACCTTCCGGTTTCGCTAATTGGACTAAATCGTCTAAAGTATATTTAGTAAAGTTAGGGTGGGACTTTAAACTGAGGAACTTTGGTTCAACCTTAAGCAGTGGGTCTGTTTTACTGCCTGGGGTGTTGTCAAAGCAAAATGAAGAGGTACCTTTTGTTTCACCTTAAATCAACAGCTATGTGCTTAAAAGTTGGGTGTTAATCATCAAAACTGCTGTTTGAATAAATGAAGCAGCTAGCAGTTGGAAAAGCTTAACCCTTCAACCCATTTTAAGGAAATTTCCTGCCTGGTGCCAGGAGACCAATGGGTTTAAACAAACACCTCCATATCTGATGACAAGAATTTTGATGAAATTGTCCGTTGAATGATCAATGCCATGCTGGAAAGAGGAGGTGTTCAGGAATCTTGGGTAAATATGACATGCAGGCTCAAGATGGGGCGTATAAACTGTGTTTGTGTTTAGGAGGAGAGGTATCTTTCAGGAAAATAACTTTCATGTGGAATGCTTCATATGTTATCCACTAAGAAAGGTAGAGGCTGAGCGTTCTCCCACATGACGAATCTGGTTGCTTCCCAAAAGGCGAGCTCGGCCTTACAACAACATCTCCCTCTTAATAGAAAAAGCAGTCCAAATACAGCCTTCCTGTTTACACTCTCAGTATCTCTCCCGCTTTCACTCAGTCCTTTTGGCTCCTTCCTTTTGTCTTGTCTATTTTTTTGACATATAAAAGCAACAAAATGAAGGCGTTTTTCAGGACTTTTTTTTTTCCTTTCCTTGGCTATTACACTCCGGCTGTGTGGCAATGTGTTGTTTACCATGATAGCAAGAGAGAGAGAGAGAGGGAGAGAGGGACGTACTGTAGGAAAAAGGGACTGTAAGCTTGCCAGGGGATGCTGGGAATAAATGCACAGTGGGGGGGTTAGCAGAAGGGGGGTGGGGGGAATTGGTGGTAATGTGACCTGCCCCAGGTTCTCCTCACATTAACACAGAACGCAGCCAAAACGCTTTTCCAACAAAGCCCACTTGCACTACCACACACACCCACACACACGCACTCACGTCTAGACCCGACTCCAGCAAATGAAATGTTCTAAAAAAACTTCAATGATAACGCACAAAAAAAAAAAACACACACCGCATCCCCACCCCAAACCCCACCCGGCTCAGAGTTTCACAGCTTCCCAAACAAGTCCACTCCATTTTAAGTAGTGCCATCTTCACCCACACCCACGGCCCACGTAAATACCCTAACAAGTAGTGGGCCTGTCTTTTCGCTGCCTCAGCCAACTCCAACCGGACTGGCACACTGTTGCAGGCCAAGCCGCCCCTGAGAAAACTCTCTGGCAACTTTCGAAGTTGTTGTGAAGCGATGGGGTTTGGTGCCGCAGCTCTAAATAGGACACGTGTAGCATTGTGCTCTGACATATTCTCATGGCATTTTGTCTAAGATATGAATAGATTTTCTTTCATTTTGCACGCAGGATGGATTTCTAAGCATCCATGTTTGCACAGCATCAGCAGGATCCTCTGTGATTACAAGCCTTAATATTAAGACTAAAGATGCAAAAATAAACACAAGAAAACTGGTTTTATTCTCATCGTGAGACATTTCAACACCTTGAGAGCAATTATGAATTTTTTAAAGTCAAATGTATTGATTCTTCTACTAAAGATGCTTAAGGTTGTTTCTTTTATAAGAGTTTAAAATGATCACATTCAAAAAATATAACCTTGGAATTTAATACATTATTATAAAGAGTGAGACACTGAAGGTTTGTCTGAGGTGACTGAGGTTTGTCTGAGGTCCCCCTGTGGCATCGCTGCCACAGGGGGACACAGATCACTTCTTTTATGTTTTTTTGTTCCTAAGTGGGATGAGAATCCATATTTGTCAAGTAAACCAAATGTGGGAGATTATGTTACCCTTCTTGCCCCCAGGGATGGTAAGGTTAATATTAATCAATTAATTAAGCTTTCTGTTGGAGATCTACAGCAAAATGTAATTCACAGTGTTACCATAACAACCTTTAAACGCTATTTACAAGTCGTATGACTAGTCAGGATGCCTGTAGCCTTAAAAAGATCTCTCCTACCATCACAAATGTAACTATGAAAAGTTAAATTAACTCTATTGGTATTTAAAATGCTCAGGTTTAGATTAAAGAAAGATTTCTGGCAAACATTTGAAGTATGTTTGGTACCCACCGTTATGTTTGGAGGAGGATCTGTGAGGCTGTGGGCAAATTTATTTTCCAAAGATCTTGGGAAGATTGCTAAACCGTGTGCGAAAGACAGAACCTGGGACTCTGAAGGTTCTAGTAAGGTTGTGCAAAGAGGAGTGCATCTTTTAGATGTTTTTGGGTGGAAGTCCTCCTCTTAAAGGTGGCAATTATAATGTTATAATTCAAGCGTTTAACTTTAAAAGCTTTATTAGTTTAGATGAAATGAAATTCTGGTGTTATCAAAACTTTCCTAGAGTGTTTAACAATCAAACCGGACTTGGTAACATGTACCTTAAAGATTTGACTGAATCCTAAACAGTGAAACATGACACCAGGTCAGAGCAGCTAATCTCTGGTGTATTTCTTGCTCGTTCCTCCATTCGAATTCGTCTTTCGTCTCTTTGTTGGTGAGAAATCTCAGACTGGTTCGCCTCTGTCCCAGAGCCAAGAGCAACATGTTTGCTTTTCCCTGTCCCTCTCCCTTTTGTTACAGCGACCCCCAGGAGGAGCATAAATATCCACTGGACTCATGTTTGCTTAAGAAGCCAGTAGAAAAGACCAATCTCCTAGAATACACAGTCCTGAAATAATTCGTTAATCCCTCCTGCCCTCTCCCCACTGGAAAAAAGAATGTCTCTACTTCGCTTTTTGTTGTTTTTTGTTTTTTTTCCTCCAAAGAGCCAAGTTAGATGGGAAAATATGTTGCAAGGAAAGTCTGGCTTATGCCACGCTAGGGTGCATGCTTACACACAAATTTGCATAGGCACATACACACAATGGGAGCTTCTGATGGAGCCAAGAGGCTGACCCCTGTGCAGAAGGTTTAGGTCAAAGATACAAGTTCAAGCCCAGAGAACATTCTCAAGTTTCCTCCATGAGGAGTAAAGTTTCCTGGATGCAATAACGGCTGACCTCTTCCAAAAGGTGCAACCGTGGTTAGTGGGCATGTCCAAGTGCAAATCAGGGCTGTCAAACACTATGTTTATACAACATGATGATAATTAAACACAATATCCTCTCTCAGTGTGTCTCGCTGTCTTCCATATCCTCTTTCCCCCTCATCTCTGGCCTCTTTTACCCCCTGTCTCTTCTTACTAATCACCCACTCATCTCTTTTTCCTCTGTTTTCTTTAATTCACTCTTCCTGAACTTTTATGTCCTTCCCCTGTCTAGTCCATCTATTTCTCATTTTTTTTATCCCTGCAAGAGGGCATGGATGTAGATTAAAGAAAGTAGGAGTAAAGAAGAAGCGACCAACTTAAGAAAAGTGAAAGTTAAAGAGACAAAGTGATCTAGGAATATGAGACTTGATAAGAAACATCTAAAGGTACAGTAGACAGAAATAACAGGAGGGGCATCCAAAATTGGTGTTCACAGCTCTTAATTATGGAGCTGGGGATGGCTTTATCAGAATCCCCTCACCTCACTGCTCTTTGTCAGGGGGTATTAAGGAGGAGGACACACAATCAGGCTTTTCATTAGGGCCCAACCGGCAGAGCACACAAAGGAGGGCTTTAACAGCTGCAGAAAGGGACTCAGGTGGTAGTGGAGGAAGGGAAGAGGGGATTCATGACGAGCGAGGAATGAAGGTGGTATGGATACAATCAAAAGATGCATAGAAACAGTGGGGGGCATTGTAATGAAGTAAGAATCATTTGAAATAAAGAGGATTCGCTGACCTTACAGAGATATGGTCGAGACTAAGGAGCAACTGGTGTGTTAATTCCCCTGATGGAATGTTTTAAAAGATGTTTACATTTAAGGCAGCAAAATGTCTAAAAGCAAACCTCCTCTGCCCTCCTTAGGTGACCCTTACCCTCTCCAGCTCATCCCCACAACAATGGCTGCCGCTGCCGCCGCCACGCCGGGCCTGGGTCCCCTGCAGCTCCAAGTAAGTCTCCATCATCTATTAAACAACACGTTCAAGAAAACACCTTTCCAGATTCTCTCTTCCTTCGTGAACGCTATCATTGTGAACAAATCTCTAAAGCCCTGCAGCTTTCACACAACACATGCCGCCCGCTGCTCCGCGCTCAGTCCCGGGCAGGAGGGGCAGCGCAGCTGTCACTTTCAGCCGAAGTGTGGACATCAGAAAGATACAGCGAGAACGTGAACTGTATGATCAGAGCTCAAAAATCACATGGATTTATCCAATGCAACCTTAGGCGATTGATGTTCTCCTGCAGAGGTGCTGACAGTGGGTGTCAGCACAGAATAGGAGAGACCTATTCTGATAAATCATAATGATTAATCATGGATTTTGGGTCTCTGTTCAAAGAAAAAAAAAGAACTACAAATGCTAATTTTCATAAATAAGGAGCTATCGTTTGATATTTTACCTTTTTTTCTTCTTCTGAGTCATCCTAGATTTAAGCTTGTACAGCATTTTTCCCAATGCAGGCCCAGACATTATCATGTTTATAATGACTGTAGAATGAGATTCCTATGATGGTATTCTAAAAAACATATTTCTAATATATATGCGCTTTAACACCAGAAGTGGAGAGAAATGGAGGGCAAAAACATGAGACGACAACTTTGTGTTTTGTCCATTTTCAGGCAGAACATCAGACTCTTCCACTAGAAATCACATGGGCATCCTGGCCCTGACTGTTAGAGGTTACGAGCCCATACGGGCGTCCCATCAGCTGCCTTTCTGAAAGGCATTAATCTCCAGTATTGGGCTCGCCACCTCTGTCTCCTGGATGTGAATAATTATTAAGTGTAACACACACACAAACATGCACAGATGTCTAGATGGAGCAGCTGCTTTGACACACGCAGCTTGTCACGTACATTAACGTGTTTTTTGCTGACCGCTAACACAAACGAAGGGAACAACGGGGGTAAGAAACGGGTTAAGGGGTTTGCCACAGTGCGCGAGTAATACATTTGCACCTGTCAGCGAAACGTGACGCCCCATATGCTAGACACAACAGGGAGAATGAAACAGAACTGTAACTCGACCACGGAGGACGGACCCCGCTGTCCACTCTGATTTCATTATTATGTGTGTGTGTTTAGGCCGAGAATAATGTTCTCTGTCTTATATCGCCGCTTAAATCTAGTCGTCCATATGTTTGCTTGTGTTCACTTAAAACCTCCAGCTTGAGCAGCTTTGTCCACCTTAGATTAGTTTTTGTTTTGTTTTTAGCCAGAATTGAGGAGTTAAAAAAAGACCCATAAGAAGCAGAAAAAAACAAATCATCTCAGTAACAGATTTTGTCCTCACACTGACGGAGTTGGCTGATGAGATTAAGGCTTTGTCAGAGAGGAACAGATTTGCCCAGGCTAACACGAGTGCAGATGTCTCAGTGTGGAAGGATTTCCTCCGGGGCTGTCATGGCGCCCTCATTTGATAAGGAGGTGTTTCTCTTGCTGAGACGAGACTCTGAGATAACCTTCACTAAATTATGGCTCTGCAAAAAAACTAAAATGTAGCTACAGTCTGCTTTAGCATGCAAAGACATGTGAAAGTATTATTAATGCTACATTGCTTTAGGTACTTCCACTAAGGGAGCATGAAACGGGCGTAATATCACTACTGAAGGGAATTCTAGACCCCTACTGACACAATATAAGATCTGAAGCTGTTGAAAGCACCCTGCTGCTGAGAACAAAGGGCTACCAACTGTTTAAATTTTCACTAATTCGTAATTAACCTTTATGTAAGGCATTGAAAAGTAGATAAAAAGCAAATAAGTGCCACTAAGCAAGCAGTGTTAACCTTTTAAAACCGAGATGTTAGAAATTACAATCTTCATTAAGATCATTGGCACACTAAGACTTCTCCTTCTCAACCTTTTGATGTCTTTTCAGCAAAAGCTGTTAATGATCTTTATTAGGATAAGTCAGGAGTTCATAAGGTGAAGATCAAATGGAGCTTGAATGTCCTTGGTAGCTATGAAGATGTACTGTTTTTTTCAGAAGCTACAGTAACATTAAAGGACCAAATCTCAAAGTAAGACATGGCTGCAGGTATAATCAGGAACCAGCTTAGTTTATTCTATGAATTTTCACTGAAAATGTGCATCTGTGTTTGCATTTTACTCTTGCAAATGTCCACGGACAGTAAGAAGAGACAGAATTCAACTCTATTGCCATTACATTTTTACAATTAAAAAGGCAATTAAATTCACTTTCTGCATTTAACCCATCCCCTTGTGGAGCAATGGGCTGCCATTGTGCGGCACCCGGGGAGCAGTGTGGGGTTAAGGGTCTTGCTCAGGGAACCAGAGTGGCAGTCAGTAGAAGAGGGAGTTGAACTTGAAACCTCTGGGATCCAAGAACAATGTCTTAAACTTTAGGCCACCACTTCTTCAATGTTTTCTAGGCCAAGGACCCCCTAACTGTTGGAGAAATGGAGCAGGGACCCCCTAATTATACATATTGTATGAAATTGCGTTATATCAAACTGGTCCTATAGTCACTCTATTACATATGGAGTAATGTAACTAAAGTAATTTCTCCCTGGGATTATTAAAGTATTTCTGATTCTGATTCCTCATTGATGGGACAGGTGTTGTGAATGAAAAGGTGTCCAGCTTGAAAGCGTTCCTGTGTATCCTGAATGTGTGCATTGACTACAGTGTGTTGAATTCATGTTAATTTGTATTTAAAGACGTTTCAATTAGTGGAAAAAATTGCATTGGGGAATATAAAAAAAGTCCAATCAACCAAAACTTTTGCAACCCCCATGCAGTACCTCCGTGGACTCCTGTTGTAGACATCCGCCCTAAAGAGTATGTGTTAACATGTTTGAAAGGTGAATTTGACTGAAAACATATAAGAAGAAGCAAAACCAGTACAACTGTATATTCTTACAATAACTTTGATCACTCATTTAATGCAAAAATGACACGTCAGAGACACGTTCACATGGGTGGTGAATCCTAATTACTTTATACAATTAAATAATAAATCATTCATTTGGCTATACTGTAGCTGAAATGAGCTGGATTGGTTTTATAAATCTATCTATATTGGTCGTAAAACCAGTTAGTTTGCATAATGCCAGAAACAAAAGTTATAATACATCATCTATAGGGAAATAAGTAGCAAACCTCGTTCCTTCTTTTGAGATGAAATCATCAGCTTCTCAGATGTAGAAAACAAGCAAATATAATCTTTCTCTTGAAACATTTTTATATATATTAAGGGTGAACATTATAGTTATTCTTATGCACCTTATGTTTGGGACTGATCAAATTCTGACACTCGATTAACTTTTAAGTGTACGTAGTTGTACTGCTCTCAGGATCTTCTCAGAACCATTTGTTGATTATCATAGGTTAATGCTGACTATTATACGCTACCCTGATGGTATCACATATTGTATTTTCCCATAGCGTTGTGCGCACTTGGAAAATATTCTCCTCTTCAACTGATGCATACTTTAGATAAGAGGCAAGAAATCATGCTTAGAAACCATAGCTTTTGACCTGCTGACACGCCATAACAAGTGAATTCGCGGGATAAAAGACGACTAAGAGCAGATCTCTCAAAAGCTCTGCGGTAAGTGCATTTCTTTGAAAAAAATGTTTAATCTCAATGATTTAAAGCTTTCTCCGTCATCTTCTTTTCTAACATCTTCCATAGAAATGTGCAGAGTAGCTCTTCCAGTCAATGGTGGCTTAACAGAGGGTTTTTTATGGCAGTAGCGGCTTTGGAGGGTGCTAGGTTGGCATTTAGCGTGTTAATCTGGGGGATGAGTGGGACATTGTGCATTAGAGCATATTAATCTGACTCCCTATTGACCCTTCATACCATTGATACGGCATTATTCACATCAAACAAATGGAAAACGAGACTAGGAAATGTTGATAATGCTGGATAGGAACCAAAGGATCAGTTAAAAGGAGGAACACACTAAACAGAGGGGAAGGTGGTAGGTGGATGTGTGAGAAGAAAATGCATGCGTGCGTTTAAAAGAGGGTCAACAGCGTGGGTCAGGCATCATATGGAGAGGCAGATGTTGGAACATATTGCCCTGGATTATCGCACTGTACTCCGGAGACATAGATGGACGAACAACGGGCAGGCGGATAGAGGCAGGAGAGAGAGAGGGAGGGGGGGGGAGGAAGGAACAGATGAGAAAAGGTAGAAGAGAAATCAATGGAGTGACTTGTTTCTGCACGAAAAACCCCCTTATCAGGCAAGCAGAGGAATAACAGCAAAGCAGTTTTCCAGGACATGGGAATTCTGTCTGTGTTGGTATCTCTCCTACTAGAGGCGATAATTGATTCCTAGAAATTTATGTGATAAGCAGGAACAAATGGGAAATCAATCAAGGCTGTAGAGATAGCTGGGAAATGTTAGGGAAATTCTTGCCCCTGTATTTGCTTTGTTGCCAGGTTTTTATGTTTCCTATTAAAGCCTTGATAACAAATCAAACAATCTTAGTGATTGTTCGTTTAAGTCACAAATAACAGCAATAGCTTTATGTGACTTGTAGACAATTAGTGAACAACCATTTGACAAGTCAAGGATTAAGCTATAGGGGTCATTTGATGCATCCGAGGGAAAAGCTGGTTACTCTGGAGGAGCTGCAGAGATACACCGCTCAGGTAAGGACAGGACGGTATGATAAAAGTCAACAATAAGATGGACGTAAGAAAGTGGCCGATAGCTCTTTCTACAACATGCTACATCAGGTCTTATTTCTTAGTGAATGTTTCTATTAGCAACAAAATCAAGTTCAGGATCTTTTGGAAGACTCAAAAATTGCTGTTTAAAGCTCTGCTCAGATCGGAAAGAGTTAGAGCTTTTGGCAAAGAAAAAGAGGCAACATTTTGGCGCTCTGTAAGGTTCTCTGTAACATGAGGGCTACCAAGACAAGAAAAAGTTGAAAGGTTTTAAAATTGATGCGAATCAGAAGAAAACTATTAAAAG